TGTTCGCTTATGGAACATTGAGAGGTTACCTTCGTCCTGTGTTCGGTTGGCGTACGCTTTATATTACCTCATCTGCGGCTATGATTGGATGCTGCTTCGTTTTAAGAGATCCTGTTGGTCCAGTGCGGACCCTCCGTTGTCCTCACCAATCCACGGCGTCTCTTTTGATTATATTCGACCGAGACATTCGTACTACCCATTAGAAGCCATTGTGCAGTTCAGGATCTCACCCTATTATTCACACAGAAAGAGCCATATGCCGGGGTTACGTGAATCCAAGGAAATTTTCTCCTTGGAGTTTAGACTTTAAAACTTATTTTGAAGATGAGGATTCCGATTTACAAAAAAGGACATTGCTTTCCGATGCTCCTCCACTTTAACTTGACAAACGATTTTTGATTGTTTTCATGTTCACTGAGAACATTGCGTTACCCGGATCAAGATTGTTCGACGCACTATTAACTTGCTGCGTTTACTTTAGTACCGTTTGCATTCCATATGTTCTATTCGAAAACTTGATTTACGCCGGTTGACGTTCACGAACCAACATAATTGCACACATAAAGAAACAAGCAATCTTTAGGTGCATGCAAAGCAAATGGGTAGAAGCGCTTCGTGCCATTTCTCTATTCCAAAAAAGTGACTTACCAATGTTTTAAAAATAAATGCGCGCAGGACATTCCTTTCAGAAACGCCTGTCAGACAGAGTGCATATCTTATTGGATTAAACCCTATTTGGGTCATCACATGGTGCGCGATTTGCCGCAATGTCAGCTCTAACGGATTGTTGAAATAATTTAGGTAACTGGCGATGGATGTGCGGAAGTTCAAATTGACAAAACACCAATCAGTAAGAGAAGCTGTATGTATATATGTATGTATGTATGTGTGTCGGGGTGTATGATTGTCAGGGTTATTATTGGCTGAATGAAGGCACAGTAAGCCCGAAATAGTACTGTATAAATCTACCTGCGTTCTCTGTCGTCCCTCCTCGCTGCCATATGTATGTATGTATATACTTGGAGGGTAAGAGGCAGAGCCCTTGAAGACCCTATTTATGTACAGTGCTTTCGCAAATTTGTACTTAAAAATAAAATTTCAGGCATTTACAACGTGATCGGGTCACAGTTCAATCGCAATCATAAGGTAGTGCATAAGGTCACTCTAAATTAATGCGGATGGATTGTATATGACGGTTTTTTACAAAAGTGGTTGTGCGTAGTCATGCTGTAAAAGCCGATTACTGTCGAAAACTAGGCGAGCAAGTCTTCTTTTAAGCATGCAAATTAAGTCAGCCGTCGCCATCTCCCTTGGAAGCGAGTTCCACGGTCGGACAATCCGCTGGCTGAATGAAGACATTCTCCGGTCTAACCGCGTGCACTCCTTCCCGACTTTGTAGGCATGACCTCGTGGTTGGTTTGTACGGGCAAACTCAAAGAAGTCCTCCGTTCTTAATGAGCAACCATGGTCGCGGCCAATCCGGAACGTCCAAAGTAGACTGCTGTTTATTCGTCTATTAGAGAGAGGAAAAAGCTAAGCAAATACAGCCTCTCCTGAAAAGACAAATGTTTTGGACCGTCGACCATCTTTGTCGCTCTGAGTTGCACCTTTTCGTGCAATTCGATATCCTTCTTCATCCATGGTGAAGCTACTGGCATTCCATACCCCAGATGAGGTCTTCCAAAGACAGCAAAGAGTCTTTCGAAGAGTTCGGGGAGAAATATTTTAAATGCACGTCTGATCCAGTGTAGATTACTAGTTGCCTTCTGGACCATCTTTCCAGTGTTCTGATGGCGATTGATTTGCGGTCGTCCATACATTCAGATCTCTGTGTCTTTCCACGATTGAAAGAATTCGGAAAGGAGTGATGCCTTTTCTATTTGCAGACCTAAGGGCAGGGATCAGCTCCAAAGTCCTTTTAGTACTTCGCCTATAACCATATAGCATTTTCGGATGCATCAACGAATTTCGAAGTATGTTCAGTTCAAACTTCCTTCGCAGCTTTGAGGCCTCACTCTTACAAACGCCTTTTTGACGCTTATATTCCTGTAAGTGTTCTTCGGAGCCAGTTAGTCTGTAACGCCTCCACAGACGATTCCTTTCTCTGAAAGAGGTCTTTTAGTCCGTGTTTATCCATTTTGGGCGGTTTGTGATTGTCCTTCTTCTGAGAGGACAATTGGAATAAACAATCTCTTTCAGTAAGGAACTGAAAGTATTCCAGTTGTCGTTTGCTTGACCATGCAGTTCAGTCTCTCATGATATAGCTGCCGCTTCCCTCCTCATGAGAGAATAGTCCCCTTTCCAACTGTTTCTCTCCAACCTATTGGGTTGGACGGGTTTGGAAAACAGTGAGTACTCGAAGTAGAGCGTGAGGTGGTCGCTTGACCCTGAGGGCTGTCGGTCCTGCAGGTCTGACACGTTTTCCTCCTCTAGGGTAAAAATAAGATCAAGGCAGTTCGACTGCTGTCCTTCCCTGACCCGAATTCCAAAGGTAACCTTCTGGCAGAGAAGTTTGTACGTTGCCCATTGTAGTAGTTTGTGATTAAAGCTGTCTTGCGGTCCTTGTGCAGTCCACGTTAGCCAATCAATGCCAGGAGCGTTAAAATCCCCAACGATAAGGACATATTTCTTCTCGCTAGCTTGGAACAGTTCGGATATGAGCATGAGATCTTGGTCAGAAGTATGGTTAGGTGAACGGTATACCAACTCTAGCTCCAGTCTTCCGCTCATTGACACTCTCACTCCGAGAGATCGGTCGTATGCCACGCGCAACTCCTGCATGGTGATTCCGCCGCCTCTTTGTACTACATCTAAGCGCTCCCTCTTCTTTGCTTCCAAATATGCCTTCCTTTGGAATAATCTTCCGCCTGAAATTAGATCATCGTTTAAGTTACTGGAATTCAAGTCGAAATTACGCAAATATATTACATCGGAAAGCATAAAGACACTGCTGACGGTCTCATTCCCGAACACTCAGGTTCGTGAATTCGACAAGGGTCCTGCAGGGATTTAGTGGTATATCAAGTGGTAACCCTCAATTATATCATTAGAAACACTGTTTTGAATTGGGTTCTAAATCCACTGCTATCACTATTATCCCAGAGCGACAACTTTCGCTGTTTTTGATGTCATCTTCCGCATTCCGACCTCATGCGGTCTGTCGACGCTCACGGTGGAACCCGCAGTATTCACTGTCTACTAGTAGTTCGGTCGTACCTCCCTTCCTCACTGCTCGGCTGAGCTCGAAGCGTTCTGTGGCCGATCGCATCTCGGTTCCTCTCGTCTGGCCTCTTTGACGCGGCGTACCAATCAGGCCCAGACGATCTCAATTGTGAATCCCGTATACAATGCCATTTGCAAGCCACTCCTGTCTGACACACATTCGTACCCATCAAGGCTGACATTTATTGCTACCCTGTCGATGACAGACAACATTCCTTTATATACCGCCACCTACAGGCCTGTCCTGCTCGCTTTTTTCTCTTATTATTTTTATGGAGGGGTTTTTTTCTCCTGCAAAATTAATCCAATCCTTTTTCACTATTTTAAGGAGTTTTTTTCACCCCTAAATCATCATGTTTCTCGATGGACTTCTAATTTAGAAACTAGGAATTGCATTTTGTAAAGATTCGGCCTACCTCGTCTAAAACTCGCATGCAAATTTATTTTAACTTGATTGATTGATGGGACCCCGACGGGTCTTTAATAAAAATTATCTATCTATCTATCTAAAAAGGATGCAAAGGCCAGCTGCGAGTCTTCTAACCCACAAAAACTTAATGTTCGCCAGCTGACGTCTCTGAGTATAAGTAGTACCAGACGAAGCTTCAGAGAACAGTTTCCGGGTGAAAACCCTCTGAACATTTTCGATTTTATTACGGTCGCTGGCGTTCATTAAACCGAAGAAATGACAGCAATATTCGAGGACTGGAAGAACAAACATTTGATAAAGTCTTAGCTTCATTTCCGGAAGGAAAAAATTATGCGATATGAATTTACATATCTGCGCGGCTTTGGCAGAGATTCCATCTGCGTGGGGTGATAAAGCAGGCTTATTTGTATAACTTAGACCTAGGTCCTTTAAGGTGAGGCATTTTGAGAGTGGGTAATTCTGAAAAATTATGGCACTAGGAAGTTTGGCAGGACCAAAAGACATGAAGTTACACTTGGATGATGAAAACTCCATCTGCCATCTTGAACCGCATCCGATTATGCGTAGTAAATCGTCATCAATTTTTTCAACAAAAACGTTTGCGGTGTCCTTACAGTATGAGTGAACACACTTGAGGTCATCGGCATAAGTAAAAGTTTGCGAATTTCCGAGTTCAGTCGAAATATCATTGATGTACAGAAGGAAGCGTAGCGGACCCAGAACCGTGCCTTGAAGTACGCCACTCGTGATTGAGTGGGGTGTCGAGTAGCTATTACCGACCATGACTTTCTGATATCGGTTGGACAGATAGGACCTGATGAAGTCGAGTAGAGGCGGCCGGATGCCGAAAGCTTCCAATGTTACTAAAAGACGTCTATGGGGCACCTTGTCAAAGGCTTTGCTAAGATCAAAGTAAATAATTACCACTGACTGCCGCTCATTACGAAGAGAAGTAATTAGATTAAGAAAAGCCAAATGCCATGTTTCGCAGGATCGTTCAGGTAAAAATCCATGCTCACTAGAGCTCAGAAGCCGATTAGCTAGACAGAAGTCAAGAATTTCATTGAAAATAATCCTTTCAAGAAGTTTTGCTAGAGACGGCGATTTGTGCACGCCCCGATAGTTATTAACATCGGACGGAGATCCAGACTTGAAAACGGGAATGAAAATTGTCGTGTTCCATGTTTCAGGAAAGAGTCCTTTGGAAATATAAACCGAGAATAAATGGCTGAGCAATATGGGAAGGCCTGACGCTTCTTTGATAATCGAATTCGGAATCCTCTGCGTTCCCGAGCAGTGTGAGTATTTCAACCCACTTATGTGCTTCTCAATGAGATCTGAGGAGGCATTATTGTAAGAAAAGGACCGGATCGGACTCTGTATTAAGGTGTTTTGCAAAGCAAGCATTAAACAACTCCGCCTTGTCAGTGTCATTGGTGAGGAAGACTTTGTCATCATTTAGCAGGGGTGGAAGTTCGTGACCCCGCTTAGAGGAGGACCGATGACGGAAGGTGTTAGCGACGGATTTGCCAGGGCTCCAGTCACTGAGGGCAAATGATTCACTTTGCCTGTCGCGCGCTTCACGCATCCTTGAGGCCATCTCAAAAATCTCTGTGATCCTAAGATGAGCTGATAAGGAACTAGTTGATGGGTTACGCAGCTGCCGTTGCAACTTTTTAGTCTACTGTGAAGAAAATGAGGAACAAGGGAACCCAAGGAATAAGACTTGAGATATCTACGCAGCGCAAAATCTAGGATGTCCTTGGAAACATTGGACATGACATCACGAAGAATGGTTGCATCGCTACAAGTGAGGAAGCCACAACAATCCAAAGATCTAATATAGTTATTTATTAAGTCGTTATCTACGCAGTCGTAGTTCATGTACGTCCGAACGGCGCTTGTCATTTTTGAAAAGGCAAGCGGTAAGCAACAATGAATTAATAAGTGGTCACTGTCAAAGAGGTCCTTTTTTAAAGCAACAGAAAGAGGAGCAATGTCATTGGTAAAGATAAGATCTAAAATGTAATTATCTCTTGTTGGAGAGCGCACCAGTTGGGACCAATTAGAAAAATTGACAATATCTTGAAAGGGCTGGAATCTGGGTGGGCAGCTATTGGAAAACCAGTCTATTTCAGGAAGGTTAAAATCTCCAGTGGTTATTTTAACATCGAAAGGAGCTTCCGAAATTAATTTAAAGATTTCACAGAGTTGTGAATCATCACTGGCTAAAGAATTTGGGGGATTGTAGATACAGTCAATACTTGCCTTACTTTGCGGCGAGAGAATAGCACATGCAAAGCAGAAGTTTTCCGTTAATGAGGAAACATCCAAGTAATAGGGAGAGTGCTTTAGGTAGGATTTAAGATAAAGAAGACAACCGCCCCCGCGCCTAGTCGTGCGGTCTTGACGGTAAAAATCCAAGTCATCTATGAGAAGGGCAGAGTCAGGAATTAGAGAATGTGTCCAAGATTCTGTTACACATAAAATATCAGGCGTCATTTCCAGAGCAATGGCTCTGATTTGGGCCATTTTGTTTATAAGAGACCTGGCATTCAATAATATAATATCTAATGTGTTTCGAACAGCAATGCTTTTGTGGAAGTTATTTAAAAAAATTTGGAGGCGCATGTGTAAGATTTGAATTAATGACACTTGTAGAATATTTACTAGTTAGTCTAGAGTTTTTTGACGTACGAGGAGTCAAAAAAGAGAATGCTGAGTAGGAGACCTAAAGGATGTGGGGATATAGTTTTCAAACATTGGAATGCTAGGGGAGTTAGAATATGGATAGTCTTGTTGGTAGTTAAATTGTGGAGGAAGGGGAGGAGCAGGGAGCCCAGAAGGAAAGTAGAGGCTAGTGGGGAGAGTAGGCAGCTATAAGAATAAAAGGGTGGAAAACCGGGTCTAGGTTGGAAGTCCAAGGACGTAGGTTGACGAACATGAGAGCAATTGGCCTTAAGTTTTGGAAACCCCGAAATAGGTAGGGGCTCAAATGACTTAGGGCAATTCATGTATGAATTATTTGCTGGATATATAGTAGGGCTTTGATAAGTTACTGGTACGCAGGACAGAGAATTATTCGGGGATATAATTGGAGCTGCGGGGTTTGTAGACGTGCTGGGCTGAACAGACTCGGTAGATCTAAGAGAAGGCGGCGTACCCCTGAATGGAACTGTGCTACCTTTCTTTTGGGTCGGAGGTTGATTCAGTTTTCGAGTCTCACCGTTCTGACGCCAACCCACGGGTGACTTAACTGTAGAGCTTGCAGCACCCAGTTGGACAGGAGAAGTTATCGGTCTAGCTGATGTAGACGGATTTTCATGTGTCCCAGAGGGGCTAACCGGAGGATACGAAACGACAAATGGGGCTGCTGCTGCTGCTGCTGCTGCAAGTTGAGGGGCAGGCAAGTGCGTAAAGTGGCTTGAGTGAGATGGAGATGTAGGAGAAGGAGGAAGGAGGAAGTCAGATGTCGCAGGAGTAGGAGAAGCTGAATCCTTACGGCAACTTGTATTATGACCGAGTCGGTGAGCATTAGACAGAGAAGCAGGGGTTTACGTGAGCAGACAGAACCGATTCTACGCTCCATAGCATTTAGATCATGGCAAATGAAAAAATGTGCATTTTCTAGGCGCGCAGTGACACAATCTCGATGGGCAAAAATAGTGTCAACCTCGATTGATGAAAACAATTTGACTTAGATGGGTGGATTTTTGCTACGGGAGGACAAGCGTTTGGCATCAGCTATTTTATAGTTGAAACCACATTAATACAGTAAACTGGTCGCAACATCAATTGGCCGAGTAGATCGAGGAACATTTTTTAGCAGGCTGTCGTAAGAACGCATTTGTCTATCACTAGATTCACTGGCGATCAGGTGAACAAGTGAGTCGAGACGCCTACATTCTTTGGAGGGAATATCGGAGATGTTCCCGTCGAATAAATGTCCAAGAATTGTTAGCAAAGAGCCAAACTTTAGCATGAAGTCATTGTAGGGGTCAAGTGCAGACAGATTAAGCTGCCGACCAGTTACAACGTGTGACGACTGATTAGAGATACCATCTGACTTAGATTTACGTAAAACTTCTGACTTACGTTTAGTTAAGCCATGTTTGCTTACAAGAGCCGAGAGCTTACGCCGACCAGTGACTTTTGCCCTCATCCTGTCTCGAGGCAAGTTGTGATTAAGAAGAATTCTGGCAGACAAGTTGACTGAATTTCAGCAAGGGGTTTACGACGTGAAAATAAATTATAACAGTTAGAGAGAAATCGAATGCACAAAATGAGAATTGCAGAGTGTGACTGGTGAACAACAGACATAGACTAGCAGAAATCAAGGGAGATGGCAAAAGGCTGTTCTGAATGAATAGGCCTGCATTTAAGGAAATTTAACCAAAAACAGGGGCTTACATCGTTAGGTTTCACAGAAAACCCACTTAAAATAATATCCTCCACTTATCTCCAAATTTAAAACCAGCGGCTCGACCTTAAAAATTACATTTACAAAAAAGAACCGACGATATTTATTAGTACATGTCAGATGAAGAAATAAAATGATCTCACACTGAATGTTGCGTGGGGGGTGTACATGATGTCTTAAAGTAGTGAATGGATTAAAGATACGATTATATAAAAGCTTAAATAGCAAAAATAGTCCCTTTTGTAACGTACAAAACCATAAAGGATCAAGGCCTGCAAGCCGGCAACGTTCTTGGTAAAACAAATGTCGTTGTTCCGGGGTTAAAATTCTCTTGGTAAAAAAGTGCTGACCGGATTCTATTTTCTTCCTCTCTGCAATACGCGCGAGGCATGAAGCTAACGTACATGTTATAAAGACGCATTCTGATATCGCTAGTTTTAAAGTTTCGGAGGATAAACCCGGTCGTTCTACGTGCTTTGGAGACTATCAAGACACAGTGCTTCGAAAGATTGAGGCTCTTGGAGTATGATTTACCAAGATCCTTATTAAATCCAGGAACATTTATGGCGTAACCATCAATGCTAAGTTGAGGTTCGTGGTCATCGCCAACCACCATGGTTGAGCATTTATGCCAAGAAGGAGAAAGGCACCATTTGCGGCACCACTGGGCAAAAGTCTGTAGGTCGCTCTTTAAGAGTTCAAGCACGATGTCACGATCTGCGACTTATATCGATGTGCAACTTTAAGATCATGGGTATAAATGAAGGGCTTACCATTCTGAAATAAATCTGGTACATCGTTGACAAAAAGGTAAAATAAAAGCGGGCCGATTAACTACCCTAAATGACTCCGCTCCTCACACATGCAGGGTTGGAGATAGCATTGGAAATCTTAACTCGTTGTGCACGAGCGCTCAAGTTAGAGGATATCAAATTCAGAAGTTTGAAACCTATTCCGAAAGAGGACAATTCAACAAAAGAAGAGCATGGTCGATACGCTCAAAAGCCTTAGCGAAATCAAAATACACTGTGCAAAGTGCAGAACCATTGTCCCTAGATTGGAGAACATGGTTAAAGGAAGAGAGCTGACGGTGTTCACAAGACCGAACTTTGGGTGATCCATGCTGAGCAGCACTCAGTAGGTTATTCTCAGTTAAGTGACACATCATCTTATCTTTCATTAATGTATCTAAGATATTTGAAACTGCCGGTAGGGTGTTTATTGGCCGAAAGCCATCAAATGACACAGATTGGCCATGCTTGGGAATAAGCTAAATGTGCGATTCCCTCGAAAAAGTAGGATAGGTTTTTCTTTCAAGAGCAAGCTTAATTAACTTGCATAAGAGGGATGGGAAAATTACATTTTCATCGGCTTTTAAAATGCTTACTGTGGCACCATCAATTTCAGGGCTGTGAGACTGACGAAAACGCCGAATTGCCACAGCCACGTCCCACATTGTGCAAGTTATAGTTTCGAAAACTCTTCCGGTCAATGCCTGGATGGTCGGAAGTGTAGTGTTCGAGTCTTCAATAATCATTTTGGGCAGGAAAGCATTGAAAATATCAGCGGTTCACTGGGTATCATTTATAGGATTCCCAAAAGCGTCTCGGCAGATAGTACGAAACCTTTTCCTTAGAGTTCGGACTTTTCGAGAGAAACGTTTCGAGACATTTAACAACCGGTTTTCAATGAATTGGACCACTGTGGCTAACTGTTTTTCTTCGGGCCACCTCGTAACCCACTCAGAATTATCACAAATCGCGGACGGAAAGAACACGATATTCTGAAGATGGAATTGGTGAGAAGGTTTGCGCAACCTGCGACGAAAGGGCAAGGGTAGGAAAACCTCATCCTCAACATTAGTTATTTTCTAATGGGGGACAAAACGAGAAATAAGCGGATTCAAAATTTCGTACAGTTTTACGGTGCAAACATTTACATCCAAAATAAGAACGAAATCGGTCCAGTCTTAGGAATTAAGGTGTGTTAATAATTCGGTCGAGCTATCTGATCGAAAATCGCGGAAAAAGCTATTCTTTGGGGACAACGTATTGTCGGACTCGGGTTCCAACGTTGAAACAACTATGTTATGGTCGGAGCCCCCGAGCGGACCTAGGAATGATACTGACGATGGCATGCAGCCTCTACAAAAAATTAGGTCAAGCATGCTTGATCCTCGGGTGGGAAAATCGACAACCTGAGTCCACATTCCAACATTCACAGCCGAATCGTCGTCGTAGAACCTTCTGGGACCGGAAGGCGGAGACCAGCGGACTTCAGGGCGATAAAGGTCGCCCGCAACCAATCGATACTTAAAGGTTGAGTCGGCCGCGGCATGAAATGCCTGTGACAGTAAACGATCAAAATTATCGTTGGCGTTGGGAGAGTGATAGACACAGCTAAAGAGTAAGCAAAACTTTTTTTAAGTACAACGTGGACCCAACAGTTGCTTCATACCGCGGGAAAATGCGAGAGGCCCAGCGTCAGAAACGTCAATGTTTGCTTAACGTAGACGCAGCTGCCCCACCACAACTGTCCTGTCGATCATTTCCAGTGCAAGTATAATCTAGAAAAAGAGTTCGTATTCAGCTACGGAGGCTAATGCCCACGTCTCGGTTACTAAAACATTATCTGGACAATGGGCGAACACCTGAGTCTGAAGCAAAGGCATCTTATTAAGCAAGGATCTGACATTTAAAACAAAAAGTTTGAAGGGAAAGGCTGTTTGTTTCTGAGGGAAGTGGTCTACATCGTCCAGTTCTGGGTCGCCCACGGAGCAAACGGTCCGGATGCAACCATCCAGTTCTGCAAAAAAATTTTATAGCATGAAAAAATTCTGGCGCGAATAAAAAGGAATAGGCTTTGGGGGGAGGGGGGGGGGAGGTAGGACTTGGGCCATGGTAAAACGGCCGCGAAAGAAACATGTTAGGGGGGACGCCATGCTTTCATTGGAGCAAGAGTTCTATTAAAAGGCGGGAATGTCGGCATATTTAGCCTAACCGCCTCGATATGAAGGCTGGGGTGTAGTTGAAAGCACACTACGTTTTGGGCCGTGGTGTTTGAGGCAGTGAAAGGCGAATGCGGAGGAACATATTTCATTATGGTGCTGGATTTACTTGTTGCCCGATTGGCTGAGACGGCAATTGGGTTCGCCTTCGACTTAGCCACATGCTTAGGCTTTCTATGGGTTGTTGGGGAGTCTGTAGGGGTGTTTTTATATCAGGCGTGTTGATGCGTTCAAAAATCTTACTATCAAGAGCAGTCGAATTTCCTACGGAATTGACAATGCCGTGTCGTGCAGAAGCCGCAGATGATGATGAAGAAGACTTATTCAAACGGACAATAGGTGTCAAGATGTCGGTGTTGATCTTTGACGATTTCAATTTGTTCATTATTCGCCGCAATGGTGGGGTTCTGGCGAAACGAAGCAGTGCCATTTACGGCAGCATTCTCTAGTTATCTCCCTCCTCGACAAGAGAAAATTGACTTCTGTCAAGGAGGAAAGCGTAACTAGTATCGGCGCATTACGGCTGATAGAGAGCAGTTGTTTAGCTTGTGCGACACCGGAACCCATTCCACAACCTCGCAGGAAGAAGTGGGCTCTCTCTACAGTAGATAAGTGACTCGGAATGTTTCGCAGTGAAAAATTGCGCCTGCTTTTTATCCTCTCCTCGGTTTCTAGCTTATTACTCCGATAATCTTAAACTTTTGTTAAATGACTTTTTCAGAAGCGCTGCTTATGTCTCCATCTATTAACTGATCGAGTATTTCTTCGGCTGATGCTTTTTTACGACAAGCAGAGGCGTAGTTTTGGACGATTAAAGGGTCAAGAGGTTCTTCTTGGACTAAAGGGATTTTTGAGTTAACCATATCCAAAAAAGACAACAAACACGTGCTGGCACCCGCTGCGTCTCTGGCCACGAATTTAGCGTTCAAAGACGCTGAAGAGGCCGTAAGCATTCGTCTTTTGGCACGAGTTCTTCGGGGCATTACAGGGTACTAGAAAAGTTTCCCATTGATAGCGTTCAACAAAGCGCACAAATGGCAAACACTACTGTTAATTTACTACAAAAAGAAGAAAGAGATGGTCGGACACGGAGTCATTAAGAGACAATTCACAAAATAGGGCTACATTACCAGACTGTCTGACAAGACTGGAAAAACTGGTA